TCCTCCTTTGAGACCGTACCACCACTAGTAGCTGGGACGGTTATTGTTCATCGCAGTATTTCATTCACATTTCGTCGTCATCTTCAGTGTAAATGTTACTAAATATCCTAGAATAAAATGCAGCTTTATTTATTTTATTAAGAAAGCTCTTCATAGGCTTTCACATTTAGTTATTCAGTCGTTCACCCAAACAGGTGTAAATTGTAAGGGGTTTTAAAAAGCGGTGGTTAAATATGTGTACATATTAATAGTGTGATCAAGCCAAAGAGGAAGCCTTTGCCTTTTGACTAGAGGACTCAGGAATATTCATTTTGAAACTCGCTGATTCATAGCATAGTCACGCTCAAGTTCATTAACAGCAAGCACATTTAAATGGCAGTTTTGTTTCCACTTCTAAGAGTTTACAGTAAGGTAAAGAATTCAAACTTCCCTTCAGGGCAAGTAGGCTTTTTTTTTTTTTTTTTTTCAAGTTGACTTTTTTGACTTTTGAAGCCAAACGGAGGTAGAAACTGGGGTGATTAGACAACATAGTTAATTAATGACCCAGTAATCATCTTAGCTACCTTCGTTCGGTTTAGGGTTTTTCCTGCTCTGTGCTGATAATAAAGCCCTTCTTTATAGATTTGCACTGTTGATTAAAATGTCATGCCACGTGGTTCTGAAACCTCAATGTGAAGTACATCTTACCTAATTCCAAATCACTGTGTCAGGCTGGGCAAGGTGTCTCACTTCTTGTTATTCATTCACTTTGGGAGGCTGAGACAGAAGAATTACTTGAGGCCAGGAGTTTGAGACCAGCCTGGACAACAACGAGAGTCCTCTTATCTCTATTTAAAAAAAATTTTTTTTTTTTGAAATAGAGTCTTGCTGTGTCGCCCAGGCTGGAGTGCAGTGATACGATCTCAGTTCACTGCAACCTCTGCCTCTCAGGTTCAAGCAATTCTGCTTCAGCCTCCCAATGGGCTTATAGGTGCCTGCCACCATGCCTGGCTAAATTTTGTATTTTTAGTAGAGATGGGGTTTCACCATGGTAGCCATGTTAGTTCCCTCAGAACTTGACTAAAAATGTATTTGCTCTAAGTAGCATTCAACAATTCAATTCCTTTATACAAGATCCAAGTACAATATCTTTTTTTTTTTTTTTTTTTT